CACAACCATGGGAAGATAGACACCCATGTTCTACGGACAAACAGGTCAGCAACAACCGATCAACGTACCCAAGACGTTGGGTCATGAAAAGCAGGAACTAAAGAAGAAGAAGTAGAATAACGAACGAAAAAAAAGAAAAAAAAAATGAAATGTGCAAAAGGAGATAGAATCTACCGAACGGGGATGCGAGGGAGTGGAGTCGGTCGGGGGTTGTTTGGTGGAAGGGAATGTTAGAGGGGGGCCGTCCCATGGATGGGGGGCTGTGGGGTGTAGGGGGTTTAGTGTGTGTCAAATCAACAGCGACGACATGTGTCAAATCAACAGCAACGACACAGAAGATGGCAGGATCGAAAAGTTGAAATTGAGATCCCAATACAAGATGCGGGCCTCAAGATTCGAGCGCGACATGACACGTGTCAGATAGCCAGCAACAATAGAGCAACAGAAGATCACAGCATGAGAAAAGTCCGAATGGAGATTCTAACACAAGATCTCGATCGTGACACTTGTGGCGGCGTGACCGTACACAAAACTGCCATCGTCTACCCCTAGGTTAAAATCGGCAAGACCAGTAGGTTGGAAAGTTAATCTATCCCGTTAATTTTCAGGGTCTTCCCCCGAGCATAACGCACCCTGAAAATAAACGTATACAAGGTATGTTTCCAGCCCGATATAGTCAGAATAAGGGTGCGTTGTGTCCGAAAAAATACCGTAGTATGATAGTGACGTTCATCGCAATAACATCACTTGTTCTATTGTATTCCACGAACATAACGCACCCTGAAAATGCATGTATACAAGGTATGTTTCCGGCCTGATACGCGATGGATGAGGTAGATGCCACGTGGAGAGTTGTAGCAACGTAGATGGTATGTATGAGCAACACACGGCATGCAAGTGTGAGCACTTTGCCAACAAAGTATAAGACAAGACAAGAAAAGCATGAGAGGCAAAAAAAAAAAAAAAAGATGAGAGGCAAAAAATCGTAGTCACGCAGACGGGGTGATTAATCTCCCTGGCGGTTCTCGGCGTGCATGTCGCAGTATGTATGAGCAACACACGGCATGCAAGTGCATGTCGCAGTATGTATGAGCAACACACGACATGCAAGTGCATGTCGCAGTATGTATGCGCAACACACGACATGCAATGTAGATAGGACATGTGTTAAGCCCATACACGTCAGCATCGTGGTGGCGAGGTGCAAGGGGGAAAAATGGGTGTGGGGGTGGGATCTCTCTCTCTCTCTCTCTCTCTCTCTGTCTCTCTCCACCCCCCCTTCTCTTTGCCAGCCAATTCCGGGGTTTGCAGCAGGAGGAGAGGTTTGGGGGAGGAGGTTGGGGAGAGCGTGGTCACATCGGGCTGCTGGGATGAGGTGAGCAGACAATTAATAAAGGCAGCAACGGTTGGGAGCTGTTTGGAAACGGTGGTTTGTTTGACTCAGCTGCACAAGGATTGGGTTCTCGACCGATTGGCATGGAGGGTTGTGGAGAGTGAAGAGGGATAGGCGTAGAGAGAGAGAGAGAGAGAGAGAGAGAGAGAGAAAGTATGGTCTTCTATCTCGTCTCTCAATATTGACTTCAGCCACAGACCTACCGACGTGATGGATTGAACGATAGGCTGCGGTAAAAAAAAAAGAGAAAAAAAAGACGATGGGGTGAGCTTATCCACAGTGGCTCTACCAAGCATTCGCTCACACACGTTAGTGTTGACAGTAGCAGGAGAAGGAGGAGGACGAGGTAAGGAGGACATAGGAAAGCAATGGAGGTGAAAGGCACTGAAGGGATTCAGACAAGAGGACGAGGGAGGAGATCCGGAATAAAGCGATGGAAAAGGCGGAGGAGGTAAGGACGAGGAGGAGTAGGAGGAGGTAAGGAGGAAAAGGGCAAGTCGTAGAGAAGAAACGACATGCAGTGATGAAATATGACCGTTGGATGCTGTATGAAAGTTGATACACGGATTTGTGAAATGAGGTAGGGGGAGATAGAAGGAAGAGAATGGAGAAAGCCTACCTGTTCTTCGTCGTCCTCGTCTTACTCTTGCTCGTTCTCCTCGTTGCAGGTCTCGGTTCGCATATGAATCCGAAAAGCTCTCCACACACAGCGTACTCCTCACCCTCTGCAGCGTCTTGCAACACAGTGCATGGCCAAAAAGCTCTCCACCATAAAGAGGGCGCAGTCCTCCCTCTCTGTCTCCACTTCCCCCTTCTCCTCCGAGTCGTCCTACTACTACTTATCGTCGTCGTCATTGTAGGAAGAAGCTTTCCACCATGAACAGGGTGCAGTCCTCCCTCTCTGTCTCCACTCCCTCCTCCTCCTTGTGCTTCTACTACTGCTCCTGTTCTCTTACTACTTTCCCACCTCCTTGCAGGAAGCTATGGCAGACACAGCAAACGCGAGAACCACAGCGAGCAAAGCTGAAGGCGGCAGCAGCGATGTGCAGTTGCACTTCAATGCAAAAACAAGTAAGAATTTCGAACCTCGGCGCAGGGCCTTTACCGTAGTGAGAGGAGAGAGTGCGCACGAATCCCACCACGTTTCGCCCCAACGAATACATTGGGGCTAAAGGGAAAAAAAAATAAAAAAAAATGTCGTAGACATTCCGCCGCCCCCTCATTCTTTTTCGTTTTTGGAATGATGCTGAGCGGGTGAGGTCCCACTACCGCTCCCGGATTGGATGAAGGTGCTGAATGTGAATCAGTTTTGGACACAGATGCAGAAAAACATTTGAAACCCCATTTTATCGTGGTCTCCAGAAACGGAAGCACATCAGGGGCTGGCTCCACTACACAACATACTAAATGCATCTGGACATGTCGGAGATCTGATGCATACAAAATGTTTGGTCAGTGAAAAAAAAATATGGTTCATTGTGTAGTCGAGATACTTTTCGAAGTACGAGTACTGGAGGGAGGCCCTCATTCATTGAATGCAATTCCACTGGGAGCGCTTCCCACTGTGAATGCTACCATCAAGAGTCTGGTGCCGAATACAACGTAAGGTCATTAGGGGCCGATCCGACTACTACTGTTTTGGGGGAGAACCAATAAGAACTGGGGCTGTTCGTGGTGGGTATTTGTCCAGGCGGACGGAAGGTGGACACGGGAAGGGACTGCAGGGGCGGTCTTGTCCCTCGCGAGTCCATTTGTGCGGCACTATTGCAGACCCCCTTGCCACCCGTAATGGTACCGTCACAAATCCAGCCAGCTTTCTCCCGTTCAGGTAGGCATGCTCGATTCCCAACGACCCGCCCTATTGGATCTTATTTTATCACACAGTATTCACGACCACGGACATACGGAAGGCGGACCACCGGATACCAAGAAAATGGAAAAAAAAAAAAAAAAAAACCTTCTTTTTAGATACATGGACGGTGTTGGCTTCTTCTGATTTCGGGAAGTTCTTTTTTGCCACGGGATTTGTAAAAACCTGCCATGTACACATTCGTTTTCACTACCTCCCGAACTCGACGGGAAGACCTGCAAAAAAGCAGTCAGATCCCACCTAAACCCAGTAGGCTACGCTCCGTACTTGTAGTCAGGGGGATGCATTATTGCCAATACGGGAACACCTTTACGGGGGACACCGGACAATGACAGGTCGTTGTGCCTCCCTGACTACCCCTCCATGTGTGGCGTAGGGAGAACATGTATCGCGGTGGCTCGGCACAACTTGGTGCACAGGACAGGAAAGCACACTTGGCGTGCAGGGAAATAAAGTATCACAAGTTCGCTAGTGCGGGCCATTTGCAACGACAAGCCCCATTCTGTAATGGCTCAATAGGCCCGCACTAGCGAACTCCCACAGTGACAAGCATGTTGTTGGACGATAGTAAAGCGCGCGCTGGATAAATGTTGAAAACATGTTGAAATTATGGTGGCAATGTTGACAACTAGTTGGCACCATTGTTGAACATATGTAAAGTGCCGATACAAACAGTTGACAGGAACCCTTCTCCATACTCAAATGTTGAGTTCAACATTCTAGAAGTTGAAAAACGGAAGGAATTTTCACACATTTTTTCTGTTGGCAGGATTTTGCAGGACTTGTCACGTAGAGAGTTTCGTCGCTCCGGCCGAGTGCGTCAGTTGTACCTCTCGCGAGCCCCTACGATAGGACAGGGTCACGCGAGACACGCCTTACCTCCACCCGCAGGAGTTGTCACCATCGCTTGAGTGGGCGTATCCCCGCCGAGCTACCGCACCACGTGCGGAGACTTTTCGTATGCAATCGCAGAGGTGGCCCGACCGAGGGCCTTTCTCGTTCACTGTAGCATTCGGGGGTACGCCCACTCAAGGGATGGTGGCAGCTCCCGCGGGTGGAGGTTAGACGTGCCTCGCGTGACCCTGTCCTGTCGTAGGGGCTCGCCAGAGGTACGGTTGGCGCACTCGGCCGGAGCAGCGAAATGCTTTACGCGACAAATCCTGCAAAATCCTGTGTGACGCGACCGGGAGGGTCCCCCTGCGGGACCGATGCGCTCGACAGGTGGCGTTGTTGCCGGGGATGTCGGCTGCCTACCGGGGTCCTTAAGTGAACGAACCCAGGTTAAGAGCAGGTTGATGATCCAAGCAAAACGACAAAACCCTATGTATTGGATTGTCCTATATATGAGAGACGTACATGGTATATAAGCTATGATACTGATGATAATGTATGTAGTAGGAGCATGTGATTATAAGTATAATTAGGATTGTATCTATGACTCCGAATAGATACAAATAATTAGTGAAAGAATGGTTAATTATGCTTAGAAATGATACGTCTAGGTACGACCTTGAGAGTTGACGAGCTATTAACGGGATATCTTTCTTATTCCCAACAGGATATAGAGATGTCGGACGCGGATGAAATCGAGCGGGGCCCAACAGCTACGCCGGAGGATTTCGTCAAGGTGATCGAGAAAAGAAAGTTAGCACGACTGCAGGTACTGAAGGTTGACATCTTCCTGTTTAAAGGGGAAAGGATGTCTGAGTGGTTGGAAATGTTCGAGCAAGTCACAAGCGAAGGGTTTGAGGCAGACAAATTCAAATTGCTGCCCAGATATGTCTGGTGGGAGATTCGGCCTGAGATAATGAAGGTGGTTGCTGGAGCAGCAGGAGTTTGGGCGAGTTTCAAGGAGGAAATGCAAAAGCGCTTCAAGCTGGGGGATGGTCTGCTAACGAAGGCAGGCCTGGAAATGTTACATCGGAATGAGTTCACCACTGTGGGCGCATTCACGACGACTTTTGAGAAAATGGCAAGGAACGTGTCTGGGATGGTGGAAGAGGAGCAATGCGCAACCTTACTAGGGCACTTCATAAATTGGGAGGCCTCTGCGCTAACCAAGAAGGGTGCGCCAGGGAAGAAGTTGACATGGGCTGCTATAAAAGAGAGTGTAATAGATAGGGAATTGAACCAAGTAGACCTCTTCCAAATGCGGCAGACAAGACAGAAGAGAAAGGTCTTGGACGCGACGACAAGTAACGGGCAGGAGCTTAAGAAAGTTGTGGAGGAGGTAGTGGCCCAACTTGAAGCTACGAAAGAAGTGAATGCAGCCAAAAGGGTAATGACAGTAATGCAGGTCCAAGGACGGGCAAAAAAAACAGTGGTACAAGAAGAAGAAGAAGAACCTGAGCCTCAGAAGTTAACAAAGGCACAAAGGAAGATCAGAAATCTGGCTCAAGGAGAGCAAGGCTCAGGAAGAGGCCAAGGATCACAAGTAGCAATACCACCGCCTGAGTCACATGGCCAAGCTGGACCATCACCCTATGGGCCATGGCCCAGCTATGGGCCCCCGAGTCCTTGGCCTGGGTACAATCCATATGCACCGTGGTCGTTAAGTGGACAATATGGACCCTGTACATGGGCTCCGTTGAGTATGGCTTCTTGTGGGTGTCCAGGACCCCAATCCCAACAAATGAGTCAGCGAAATCAACAGCCAAGCCAACCACAACAGTTGGCGTCGCAAGGGTCGTAAGGAAATCAAGGCGGCGGACGTGGACAAAACCAAGGATGGGGCCGAGGACGAGGAAATGGAGGTGGTACTTCCAGTGGAGGAGAAAATGGGGACTGGAACCCGTCAGAAAGTCAGGGTAGTCAAGAAGGCAGACGAGGGTTTGGTAGAGGACGGATAGATTGGAGGAATGTCATTTGCTGGCATTGTGGGCAAAAAGACCACACTATCAAATTTTGCCATGTCCGAAGAAATGATGAGGATGAGGGGTTAATTAGTATCAATTACGATGGTGATATGTATAACAAGTTTGGGTACTACATTGACCCTAAGACCCCGGGAGGAACAAGGAAGGAGGCCTTACGACAAGCTGAGGCCGGCCTGCCACTCGCTCCTCCGGCTATGTTTTGGATTTGGCAAGAGGAGGAGGTCCATCCTGATGTTAGGGTGAAAGAAATATGAGAGAATGAGGAGGTAGAGCAGGAAAGGAAAGCCGGTACCGTCAGGGAAGAACCAATTATGGTGGAATCCGACGATGAGATAGAGGAGGGTTACTGGAATGAGGCGCGAAGAACAATGGAAAGAATGGAGGATCTAGTGGCAAAAATAGAAAGATATCAAGATAAATTGACCAGTATGTGTGAGGAGGTCAAGGAGTGGAAAGGTAAAAAGCCGCTGGTGTATCTCTACGATATGGGTCCAGGATCGCAAGGAGGGTTTGGGAACTTACCAGGCGTAACGGTTTTGGGGCCGACGCGTGGATCCGGAATGGCTTATAGGCCACCGTCAAGATCAGGAAGAGCACCTCAAGCCGTCAGGACAAGGGCCAAGGGGCCGCTAAGCTCTGAGGAGCCGGCAAAGGACGTTCCTTAGCCTAGTGGGGGGAAAGAGGCAGTAGACATCCCGGAGGACGAGGGTGAAAGGGATGAGAGGTTAAGGAGAGAAGAAGATAAAAGAGCTGAGCTAAGAGCGAAAAAAAAAGATGTTAAGGTAGACACGGATAGAGTTCCGGAAGGGAAGAAAATGAAATACACTGTCCGGGTGGAAGAAGGTTATGATGTGGAGGAGATGGTGGATAAAATCCTTGAGGATCATAATCACCTTATGAACCTGAAGGATGTGTTGGTTTCAGCCCCAAGACTCCGGAACGAGCTCAAAGCTCAATTGTCAAGGAAGATGGTAGCTAGTATAAGATTGGGGGTTATAATCCCTAAGGAAGCGGAATGGGCAGAGATAGGCACGAAGATGGATTGAAAGTTTGTTGCATGTGGGTGCTTAGACGTAGTAGGAAGAGGGAAAATATGCACGGCAATGGTGGATATTGGCGCGGAAATGAACCTCATAAAAGAGGAGCATGCTTTGCGCTTGGGGATGAAAATTGATCGCTCTGATAATGAAGTTTTAATGGGAGTGAATAGTCGGTCATTGTTTGTAGGGACCGCATCGAGAATAATTTTGGAGATTGACAAGGTTAAAGTGAGAAGTTGTTTCTTTGTAATGCCTGATCTCGATCATCCCATCCTATTGGGCCGATCCTTTTTTAGTCGAACAGAGACCCTCATACTTAATAAGCATGATGGGACGATGTTCCTCGTCTTATGTGACCCAGTGTTTGGCAACTATAACATTATCACATGCAGGAATACGGGTTCGCGAAGTATAAGGAACAGGCCCAATCCTGACTCTTTCACGATTGAAGAGTCAGAAGAAGAAAGAAAGAGGTTAGGGGGCGGCGAGTTTGAAGAAGAAAGGGAGCCGGAAGCACTGACTCTTAGTCTGGCCAGTATAGGCGATGCTATGGACATAGTGTCAACCTATGGGATGGCGGACCCGGAGGTTGTAGAGGCCTTGAGAGAAAGGGTGATGGAACAGATGGGAGAAGGAGAGGTTGAGTTGGTATATCAACGTCTGGGAGGATAGGAGGATTGGTGGACGCGCAACCTCAAAGCGCGGCTCGACCTTTTTTAGGGGTAAGCTCAAGCAAGGGTCACAAAGGCGGTACAAAAGGGTAGATAAAAAATGTCGCCCTGTTTCTGTGCTCGTGACTGAGGAACAAGAAGTTTATTATGAGCGGGAGCGAGGGTTGATATGGCAGATGCGAGAAAATGCAGAGAATGGACCATGTCGTATTAATCAGGAAATAAAAGAGACACTGATAATAGGGGAACCAGATTTCCTTACAGCGCAGGAGAGGCAGTTGATGGTGGAGACTATGAGAGGAAGGCATACTGCCTATGTCTTTAATGATAACGAGCGTGGTCGTCTTGACGTTGATAAAATTTTGATGATTCGGATACATACCGTGTCACATGAACCTTGGAACCTGCGAGGTGCGCGATATCTCAATCCGGCTGATAAGAAAAATGTGGTAAAATATCTTGATGGGAAGATTCGCACGCATGTGTCGGATTACTCGAGTGGGCCTTATGCATCCCCCTGGTTGTGCTTCGTCAAAGCAAATGAGACCTTACAATGGGTACAGGATCTGCAGCGACTAAATGAAATGACCGTAAGAGACATAGGTGGTCTGCCAAATGTTGATGCACTTTCGGAAGTCTGTGCAGGACGATCTATAATTTCACTTATAGATCTATCTTCTGGTTACGACCAATTTCCTGTTTACCCATCAGACAAACCGATGAAGGCAATGCATACTCCTCGGGGCTTGATCCATATGAATGTCGCGCCACAAGGGTGCACGAATGCGGTCGCAATTGTTAAAAGGCATATGGTAAGAGCAATTCAATCAGTAAGTCCTCATATTATACAGCCATACATTGATGAAAGAGCATAACCTCACTGCAAGTGGAGCGAAGTCCATGCATTGTATGCGTGGAGCTACAATCTTAGGATTTGTGTGCAACGAGAGGGGTCGTCGACCAGACACTAAGAAGACTAACAAGATTATCGAGTGGCCAACACCATTCGAGACAATCACGGAAGTAAGGAACTTCCTAGAGATGTGTGGGTTTTGGAGAGTATTCATTAAAGGGTTTGCGACTAAGACAGAGCAACTGCGAAAGCTTGTACGTCAAGGTCAAGACTGGGAATGGGGAGGTAAGCAGGAATCGGTAATTAAAGGCCTAAAGAATGAGTTTGAGGAAGAGGGGTTAGTGTTGGGGGTGTCTGATCATGCCGCCATACTAACAAGGCCTTTTTATTGTGGAAACTGACGCAGGGCCAACTACCTTAGGAGGTGTATTAATTCAGAAAGATTGTGGGGGAGAGGAACGACCTTTGAGGTTCGAAAGTCGGACGCTTAAAACACAACTGAGAGAAATTACTTCCAGTTTAAGCTCGAGACTTCGGCAGTTCTTCATTGCTTGAGAATTTTCAGGAATTACCTCTTTGGCAGGCGGTTCGTACTGAGAGTTGATCCAACCGCCCTGGTTGACTCACTTAAGAATTTCGCTCCATCAGATCCAACCATTGCCAGATGATTGATGTATATCTGGATGTTTGATTTCGAGTTGGAGCGCATTTCTGGGAACAAGAATAGGGCAGATGGGTTAAGTCGCATCGATTGGGATAAAGGCAATAAAGGGGTAGTCGAAGATGCTCCGCCAGTCGATGGTTTTTTGGACGAGGAGGAGGATGTAAAGCTCCACATTAACTCATGGTCGCTGTCTGTGGGTGAGCATGTTACTCCTGGACGACCTATATGGCTTGCACCCCCAGGTCATGTACGACGGTCGGACATAGTCCTCAAACCTTATGTTGAGGAGGATTCTTGGGGAATGTCAGGAATAGAGTGGATGATGGATTTGGCTTTGGCAGATAAGTACCAGCTGCGATAAGATTTGGTCACAATGGAGAATGGACCCCAGCAGGTAGAAAAGCATGAGCGACTGATAGGAGGAATGTACCTTCTAGCAAACTCACTGCTTCAGGATGAGGTCGTTAGAATTGAAGGAGAAAGGCAAAATAGGAAAGAGAATGTAGTCCACGAAGGCGAGGACGGTGACTTTGAAGAAGGAGAAATAAAAAAGGTTTTTCGCGCGGAAGAGTATGATGGAGTATATCTGGAACTAGGGATGCTCCTTTCGTGTGAAATGAAAGAAAAAGATGCTAACGAAAGAGTCCTTAAGATGCGGTCAAATTTCCTAGTGAGAGATGGTCATCTGTTCATGAGAAGTAAAGGAAGGAATCGCAGAAGAGTAGTTTGTGGAGTAAATCGACAGATTGATGTTATGGTCGCCCTTCATGATGGAACGGTTGGTGGTCATAGGAGCGCATATGCAACGTACTTAAAAATTCACGATTTATATTATTGGGATGGCATGGGACACATGATTGACAATTATTGTACATCTTGTGTATCATGTCAGGAGCGGTCTTCCCTTAGACCTAGGGAGTCACTCCACCCTAGATATATACGTGAGGTTGGAGCAGTTGTCCATCTGGACCTATTGGCGATGCCTCTAGGCATCTAGGGCTCAATTGTATCTTTGATGCACGAGACAATCTCTCAGGGTTTGCTGATGGTAAGGCTATTCGCACAAAGACTGGAGAGGTATTAGCTCGGTGCATTGAAAAATATTACCTTCGCTATCCTTTCGTCTCAAGATTCCTAATGGACAGGGGGTCCGAATTCACTTGTGCAGAAATGAAGTCGATCTTGAGGGGATATGGTGTGACTGTCGAGTATACGACTGCGTCACACTCTCAGGTTAACGCACCGGTGGAAAGAGGACACAGTACCATTACAAATCCCCTCGCGAAATGGACAGATGGCAGGTCTAATCAGTGGCTAAATTTCCTGAGGGTTGCTTTCTTCGTGGAGAATATCACTGTCAGATGGAGTACCAACTACGCGTCAGCCACATTATGGTATGACAGACATGCGACGTTCCCTAAAGAAAGTTTCCTAAAGGCCTGGAGACGACAAGACCTCGAAACGACCCTGTCTTTTGAGGAGTTGCTTGATCTAAGGGCTCGTCAGATTGGAGCCAAAGAGGATAGGGTACAAGAAGCGGCGAGTAGGGTCGCTAACAGTCGAACCAATGATAAGTTCAGGTGGGACCAGTTAGCACGAGTAAGAAAGGAGCCTCTTAAGGTGAGAGATACCGTGTTGTTGTACGACTCATCTTTAGAGAAGCAGTGGTCGAGGAAATTTGACAAGCGGTGGTTAGGGCCATACAGAATCACGAGGTGAGGCGAGCACAGGGCATATCAGATCGAGGAGATGAAAGGAACGACATGGAAGGACTGGGTGTCTGGCTTGAGATTGAAGAAGTTTGTAGCACGAGATGAGGTGAGCATTAAACAGGCAAGTCATGTGGTCTCTAACTGAGAGGGGAAGACCTTGGTATAGCAGAGAGAAGAAAAGTCAAGTTAGTAAGTTAGAATATTTTAATAGAATAATAATAGATATACATATATATATAGGTATGAGTACATAGGTAATACAGGAGGGCTATATATATATATATATCTTACTGTGGTTTCCTGACATGCTTACCCTCTGTGCGCCTGTTGTCTCTTCCTTGTTATGAAGGCTTGATACCTTTGACGGTCATGCCAAGAGGGAGGGGCGGAGCAGGGCCGATGGAAGTTCCATTGAGGACTACCAGACGAGGGGGCCAGCAGAGGACCACCAGAGGGAGCAGGCCTCCTATTTTCGATGGAGGGAGTATAAAGATGTTTTTGGTCAGGTTTGAGGCTCATGCGTGTGAGCATGGTTGGGGAGTGGCCAGGATGCTGGCAGAGGTACAAGGCAGTGGTAAGTGGGCTGAGCCGATTGCGAGGTTTGTCGGGGAATCACTCACTTGGCAGGAGTTTGAGAGGAAGATGGAAGGACTGCACCCATCACCGGTGGGAAGAGACGGATTGCCCATTCGCTTCGATTCTTCCAACTGGGAGGAGTTTCTCTGGGCTTATGATCTGTTCGCAGATGAACATAATATTTTACTAGAGATGAGGGTTAAAGGATTTGTCCAGTTTGTGAGGAAGGCCATCAGGTCTTTTGTCATGACTACAGTGGAGCGAGCAGCTAACTGGGGCGACTGCAAGCGCTTATTGAGGAACTACTATACTCCTAAGCGTCAAGCAGACAACAGGAGAAGGATGGAAATGAAGAGAAGGGAGCCAGAAGGAACAGAGGGACAAGCAGTGGGACGTGGTCTTTTGTCAGGACTACAGTGGAGCGAGCAGCTAACTGGGGTGACTACAAACGCTTATTGAGGAACTACTATACTCCTGAGCGCCAAGCAGACAACAGGAGAGGGATGGAAAGGAAGAGAAGGGAGTCAGAAGGAACAAAGGGACAAGCAGTGGGACGTGGTTCATCCCATGGAACGAGAAGAGAGGAAAAAAGGAGGAAAAAGCATATGCCCCACAGGCTTGATACGAGGAGAGGGCAAGTGACAGGGGAAGCACGGAGAGGAGGAGCTTCAGGTGATTCAGGGCTTCCTCCAGAGCATGTTCAGATGCCCGGTCATTGTTCTTATCCAGGGAGAGCGTCTGATCAGCTTCATGAGCCAGCAGCGCAGGATCACCAGGAGCAAGAAATTGCCAGAGAAAAAAAGATGGATATGATTGAGAGGGCTGCAACACAGAAGCGGATCAGAATTCAACTCATATTAAAGAACTTGGCAGAAATGAGGGACAACATGCAGCAACGGAAGCAGCCAATGGAAATGGAGGCCAAGAAGACAGCTCAGAAGGATGACCCTCCTCTACTCACAGAAACTTGGGAGAGCTTCGACAGGTTGATGGAGGCTGCAGGCAGACCCGCGGAGAGGCATCAAGAGATGGGGATTAAGTTAGTCTCCACAGACTTACTTAGCCTGAAAGGCCTCATGAAAGAGGGTTTTGTAGCAGCAAAGACCTCTGATGAGAAGATAGGGAGGAGAGTGACAAAGGTGGCACAAGCTTCTCATGGTCGGAGGATGGATTAGGAAAGAGAGGTTGAAGATCTGAAGAAGGAGGTAGAAAGGCAAGGCAAGGAGATGGACACTGTGAAGACTGAGATGGTGGACATCAGGACTGAGAATGGAGCCCTCAAGTTGGTCAATCAGACCCTTAATAAGGTCAACGACGTTCTGAGGGGGCAGCTCCAGGCACAACAAACCTCCTTCCAAGCTAAGGAGGTTGAATAAAAAAAGAGGTTGAAGGATATTGAGGTCAGATGTGCTCAGCAGGTGCCTACAGCAGTGGTAGATTGGACTGAGGTCCAAAGCTTTGGAATCAAGGGGCAATCAACTGAGGACCTCTTCAAGCATCAGAAAAAGGAGGCAGAGTGGGAGAGAAGATTGAAGGATATGGAGTCCAAGGTGGAGCGCCAGGTTCCTACTGCAGTGGTAGATTGGACAGAGGTCCAAGGATTTGAGATCAGGAGTCAGCCTGCAGAAGAGCTCTTCGAGTACCGGAAGAAGGAAGAGAAGGCAGATCAGCAAAATGATGAGGAGATTCCCCTGTTAGACAAGAAGATGTTAGAGCCCCAGAAGGAGTTAGAAGGAAAGGAATCAGAGGCTAGAGAGTTTGAGTGGAGGATGCCGACTGGTTTGACACTTGAGCAGGAGCCAGTGAGGTAAGAGGAGAGGCCACCAGCAGAGGCAGCGAGGGATGAGGATGCCCCACCTATGACTCAGGGAGAGACTGTGGGACAGCAGGAGGTTCGGGGAAGTGGGTCAGGACTTGATTGAGGCTGAGCTCAGAGGGGATCTAAAGGTTTGTCAGGAGTCCACCACACCTCAGGATATGCCTCTTGTTGCAGGTCTGGAGGATGCATTGGGGTCTTGGGCCACTGGATCTCGGCCAGACGGGCGAGTCAGTGAGAAGGTGGCACAGACAGATGACAGAGCAGCATGTCCCACTCCTCCAGAGGTTCCACAGCAGGAGGTCACAAGTAAGGTTACGACAACCCCCTCATTTGTGCCCTCACAGGAAGGAGGCAAGGTGGAACAGAAGAGGGTTGGAAGGTGCTTCTACTGCAAGAGAGGCAAACACGTACAGGAAGAGTGTCCCAATAACCTCAAGGATGAGGCAAATGGCTTGTTTGTTTTGGATTCATCTGGGGTACGAAGGGATAGGAACGGAAACCTGATCCTGAAGACTCGTGATGGGATACGGGTGCAGTTGTATAGGTAGCTGCCAGAGAGCATGAGTGATCAGGAGTAGGGTTCTTTGATAGGGTCCGGAAAGGTCTAGTATGTATAGAACATCTCTGACTCACTGACTGATGGTTGGTTGTATATAGGAGTACATATGAAGGATTGGATCATGCTCATGTGCATCAGTGACTTGAGTTGATACTTAGATGTGTATCTTCGCCTTATGGACTTCCTGACCTAACTGTAAATAGGAGTGACTTCGACTGTAACTTTGACTCATTTTGTTCATCTTTTATTGTCTTTCTTTTTTTTTGTATAGTATAGGATGTCTTGTAGATAAAACCTTTTGTGTATATTACGACTTTGTTCATTCAGAGTGTGTGCTCATGAGTTTACAGTAAAAGCAATGTGAGACTTGCGATGATAGTGGATACCCGATTCCTTTGACTTTTCTTTGAAACTTTTCTGTATGATACTCAAACCTTTTTTTGTATGACTGAAGCCTTTGCTTATTGCAAGGCCCCAGACTTCGTGTACATGTGCGAGTCTCAAACTTTATTATTTTTGTGTGGTGTGTCACACTCACTCTCAGTTTTGTGAACTTGCCCATATGAATGATTGATGTGATGAAAAATAAATGCTGTGAAATAAACCGATTTGCACAGTCTTTCATTGTACTTGCGCATACATGTCTCATTGACAGATAAAGCCCAAAGTACAGTGGAAGAGGGTGCACCTAAGGTTTTGAGAAGGAAATGACATGTTGTATTCTGCAAAGATTTAAATGATGGTGAATGGAAATGTCACAACTAAAGTTGTGTCTTTTGTATGGCTTATAAAAGAAAGAGGAAAACCAATGGCCGATTGGACTTTCTTAAATAGATGAAATTTGTGAGATCACTCAAAAGAGATGCTATAATGATGAGAATTTTTTTGCTGTGTGAAAGTCCAACGAGGAAAGACCAGATTGTTTGAGAAAATTATGGATTGGAACTTTCTGGCAAGTACGATGGGCATGTGAGAAACATTTTTTTAGAGAGGTCCCTAAGACGTGTGACCTTACCTACTCTGATCAAAGTAGAGGAGACACGACTTTGTGGATTATTGAGAATTTTGTTAGAATGTTGAGAAAGACACTATTCCTCCACGTAATCCTATGGGCAGTAAGTATGTGATCCTTTGAATTATTCAAAATACTTTTTAAGATGAGAATGTCAGACCACAATGAAGTCAGTCTAAGGGACATGTTTGTAAGGCCAAGCTAAGGGGTTATAGTTAGCATCGCTTGAACAATAGGACCTAACTCCCAGCGAGGGCCGCTGACCGGCACAACCTGGCAGCGGGACCATGACTCACCAATGGTTAAGTCTTGAAGGGTCGGCTGCCCGGAGAGGCTTAGCTAGAGGGAAGGTCAGTGGGTTGAATAAGTCTAAGAGTCATGACCCTTCGAGGTACCAAGATAGGAAGGACTGCTTATGGTTGCGCAACCAGCGAGGGCACCATCTCTATACAACAACGCGATGGGCCGTGGATTCGGCATGATCAACCGTTCTACGGTGGGCCATGATTGAGACCCAACCCACCTATGGGCGCTTGAATATTTGAAAGTGGTAAGACTCACCATTGGGGACTAAAGGTGCCCCGCATTTGAAAGAGGTATCGGTTAGGGCCCGCGTCCTAAGTTATGACCCTGTACGCGGGACGATGACTAAAACATGACACCCAACGATGAATCGGCAGACGTATAGGACGATCGGAGAGGGAAGTCAACCTGCTACCTGGGAGCGGATATTACGCTGTAGTACGGAACAAAGTATCCCCTAACTTCGAGGCCAAGATGTGGGAGACCCGGGTTAGAACCCTGGCAGTGGAACACCGTGATGGGGGCAGGCTGAGAAGATACCTCGAACGGAGTTCGGCCGGCCGATCGGATTGGTTACTTCCTCGTCAGCAAATGTGATTTTTGTTGAGTCTATAGTTTTTATTGTCCGACGCGACGGGGATGTCGCTTAATAGGATCCGTAAAAACTGTCGGCCCGAATACCCTTACAAGGGTATTTGGGCACGTTTTTGCATCTCACAGAATGTGTGTTTTTGTGATATTCGAGAGGGTGTCTCATTTTTGTGTGACCATAGTCAATTCTCGGGGGTTGGGCGTGGCACACGCCTTTGATCTGATTAGAGAGTGTGTGAGCGTGCACTTTGAGGGCACGCACGAGTTTAGGCAGACATCTGGTTAAAATTGTGAGAGCGGCGTACACACCTACTAGTAGCATGAACTAGAAAAAGGTTGTGAGGCGACTGCAATAGGAGCACACAAAGTGCATTCGTGTTCAAAGTCAGCATTTGGATGGTCAGGGCTACAGTTTCGTTATCATATCCACATGACTTATTTATTACGGGGCCAGGATCAGTGGGGTACAAAGTGTCTGACTTCCTAGACCGACCATGATATTCGGTCAATGACAGGAGTCGCGGGCGATACTATAAAAGTCGGGGTTTTCAGAATGGTAGCCAAGTGAGAAAGTTGGAGTTTTTGGATAGCCACGCGGTTGTGCTGCATGCACGACGGCAGCCACGGGTAAAATTGACCCCCTCATGCAGCCAGGGCCGGTACGTGGGAGCCGTAGACACGACCAGTGTGCCAAAACACGGCCGTAGTACTGTCCGACAGGCCTGGGCTTGAACCGAACGTCTTTATAACCAAGGTTGCGTCTGCTATTTCCAAGCTTGGGCTTAGCCCTATAGGTTACGACTTTAACTAACACTACGGAAATTTGGGGATCAAGGCCAGCAGTCGACGACGAGGAGCGAAGGAGCGTCTTACAAGAGGGCTGAGGGGTTGAGGGTCCCGCGGGACTATCCCCCCCAGTTTTGCCATGGAATGGTCCTCTCCCCCTCTTCCCCCCCTTCCTGTTAATTACTTCTAAGTTTTTATGTTTCATTATTATTATTTTTATTTATTTTTTCCCCATTCTGGGACGCGGTCTGGTGTCAGTACCAGGACCGACCGTGGACCCAAGAGCGTAGCTCAGTAGGTACACCCGTAAACTATTGAAATACAGACCCGTGTTCAAATCCAGTTGATAGAACTTGCTGGGTGAAACCAAATATTTCTGAATTGCCGAGGACCGGTCGACCCGCAGATGATATTCCAGGGCCATTGCCCTGCCACAGTCCTTTGGGACATCCATCAGAATTGAAACGATTCAGAGAAGATTGGCAAGATCGTGCACACTTAGGCGCGCGACCGACCGAATTTTAGCAATCGAAGTTTTCTTTTTTTCCACTATTTAACCAGGCTGGTCGGGTCAAAGCGGGTTGATATCCATTCGGCTTCGACGTGCGCTCCGACGTGCTGATGAATGCACTAGCGTTACTGAGCGGCAAGGAAGAGAGGGAAACGAAGAGAGTGGGATTGAAGGAGTGGGACGTTGAAAGGGGTAGGAAGGAGCGAGGTGTCGAAAAAGGAGAAAAAACTTACCAGTTTCGCCGTGGAGGTTTCATCAGAAGATTGTTGTTGGTCGAGCAACGGATTGTAGACACCATTCCAGTCCTCGAGCTGTCAAGGCGGTCGCTGAGGAGCCAGTTCTCGGCAACTCCGGTGTTACCCGCCGTTGTGCTTCTTCATTGAGATCGAGTTCATCATAGTGGTCGTCCAACTTTTGATCCGGGCGTGCCTGTCCTCGTTGGGGAGGAAGGTACATTCCCATTTTGACATCTGGGAACTGGCGATGCGGGAAGGACCGAGAGTCGGTTTAGGGATCCTGGCTACATGATAGTTGAGAATGAGCTGCCAATGTATCGAACCACGATCAAGCGAAAGTTCATCGTTTTTTTCCGTTTTCCTTGATAGGGGGCACGGGAGGAGCAGCGTAAGTGCGCACCAGAGGGAGCAAGTCTGCCGCGAAAGAGGGAGAGAGAGAGAAGGGAAGGGGGCTTACCTGGCTAGTGAGACCATCGATGTGGGATGAACCAGAAGTCGAGCTACGGTGTCGAGCTACGAGCGTAGTTGGAAAACCGCGTGCACTCAGACACGTTCCAGGGGAAGACTCATTCCTCGATTTGCACCTTTTGTGTGTAGTGGAGTAGGTCCTGGTATTGAGATCGTCGAGTTGCTTGCCGTCATCGACGAAGTACTAGTAGTTGCGATTTTTGTTCCACGTCGGCCTCAGACATTGCTCTTCATCTTTGGCCAGGGCGCATGTTCGTCGTTCAGATTGACCGGTTTTCACCAAAGACACCATGATTGGCATCGCCTTGGGGTTGCGGTCACTTTTCTTCTTTCTTTCGGATCCGCGGTGATCTCCTTCATCGTGAAGGCAAAGGTACACACGCATGAGAGAGGGGGGGGTGGGGTGACGTATACCTGGCACTGCATTGAGGCACACTCTAACAGATGATTCAGCCCGACTTTGCTCGATCTAAGCGAAAGGGAACGACCTCGCGACCTCCCCATATGTGTGGAAGAGGAGCAGTGTGTCGTTCCAGATTCTAGCGGAAAATTCATTCGATTTTGCTCATTTTTACCGATGGGGCAGAGTGAAGACAGCCGCGAAGTTGGAGACTTATCTATTGGCTGGTGCGATGATTATCCTATCGATGGAAGTAGCCTCTCTTAATTTCCCTGCACTCGTGGTTGAAAGAGTCGAGGGAGTAAAAGGTGACCAAGCTATCCACCAAATTGGTTCGTTCCTTTTCTCTGCCTGCATCTGGCCTCGATAGTGACCAGATGCTTCTATAGTTAAAGATAGTAGTGCTACGAAGAAGAGAAAGGAAAGGGGGCACTTGACGCGGGCGCTACCTCCGGATCTTAGCAGAAGGGTCAGTCTTGGCTCTTGTTGGTAGGGAGCAAAGCCACGGGTGGATTGTTGGTACGTACCTATCCATGGTTAAGTAGGAGATTCATTCTGATTTTGGTCATCCTACGGACTGAAGACTCTCCTCTTTCTTTCGCGTGCTCAATGACGTCTGCGGCTGACAACTTCTCAGATCATACTCACACCTATTTTTCTTTCAAAGTGTCCATCTGCAGTAATGCGTGCACCTGGTCTTGATCCAATGAGAGATCCACTGTCACCGTGCACATAGGAAGGGGCCGTACCTTACTGGGCTTTTAGCAGAAAACCACTCCTCGATAACAGACGCATGTTGGCGAACGAGCTCGACGACGTACACTTAGTAGTAATTGAGTTGCGGATACAATGTCAATAGCAGGGTGCTAGTAGTTTGATAGCAGTGGTCTAGGTGTTGAGCGCCGAAAAGAAGGAAGGACTCTGAAAATATATGTCGGTGGCGACAAGAGCATATTCCCAGTGACATTCGGAGTCGGGACTTTGATTTCCCTAGGTCAATACGTTTCTGCTTTCGTTGCAGTCTTGTGCATGTCTCGCATAATGGAGCATAGGAGTAGCAA